AACCAAAGCTAAATATATATTCAGTCTTATTTTATTTTATTTGGCTCAACAACAAAATCAAATACACATTAATTAACATTGTCACATTATTCTTGTCAAATTTTATGTATATCTAGAATTTTTAAATTTATTTAGAAAAATTCTATTCCTACAAAAAAATTCAATCTTCGTTTTTAATTTTTTCAATTTTTTTTTTTAAATTTTACGTATCTCCTTCTCCTCTCTATTAATTGATCTTCGATAATCTGAAGGTGAGTTATTGTTCTCGTTTCCATCTTCTTCTTCTTCTTTTTTCTTTTTAAAATTTTTATTTGCATTTATAGAATGAATTTTCTTGTTTCAATATCTCCTGTAATTGTTTTATTGGATTTCTCTCTGATTTGATGGTAACCTCAGATTGAATTTTTCAATTTTCATCTTAACTAGCGATCACCTTAATTAAAATTTTGTACATTTTTGTCTTCAATTTCCATGTTTTGGTTATAATTAATTGCGCGTTTTTTATCGATAGTCACAATCTTGTCACCGCTAGATTGTCGCCATCGCAAATTGTCGTTGCTATAGTAAGAGGATGAGAGAGAGTGAGAATTTGAAATCTAATTGTCAACAGAATAGAGATGTCAATGGATAACCTACCATGTAGATATCCATGGAGACCCAACCCAAATACTTGGGTTTTTCTTTTTTTCTTGTCCATCGGGTAGGGTAAATGATATTCTTTAAATCTCAACTGATGATGGGTCGGGGATGGGTACCCACTAGTTTCTCCATAATTTTTTTTAAGTACATCGGAAACTAATTTCTCCATATGTTTTCACTACTCTGTTGACAATTAGAGTTCTAATTCTCACTCTCTCTCATCCTCTCACTACAGCAATGGCGATTTGCGATGATGACAATCTAGTAGTAACAAGATTGTAACTATCGATAAAAAACGCGTAATTAATCATAACCAAAGCATGAAAATTGAAGATAAAAATGTACACAATTTTAATTAAGGTGATCAATAGTTAAGATGAAAATGAAAAATTCAATCTAGGGTTACATCAAATCAGAGAGAAATCCAATAAAACAATTACAGGAGATATTGAAACAAGAAAATTCATTCTATAAATGCAAATAAAAATTTTAAAAAGAAAAAAGAAGAAGAAGAAGATGGAAACGAGAACAATAACCCACCTTCAGATTATCGAAGATCAATTAATAGAGAGGAGAAGGAGATACGTAAAATTTAAAAAAAAAAATTGAAAAAATTAAAAACGAAGATTGAATTTTTTTGTAGGAATAGAATTTTTCTAAATAAATTTAAAAATTCTAGATATACATAAAATTTGACAAGAATAATGTGACAATGTTAATTAATGTGTATTTGATTTTGTTGTTGAGCCAAATAAAATCAAACAAAATAAAATAAGATTGAATGTATATTTAGCTTTGGTTGTGAATCTTAAACAACAAAAAAAAAAGGTTGTGAACCTTAAAAAAAAAAAAAAAAATTTAAAAAAAAAAAAAAAAGATTGAATGTATAATTAGCTTTGGTTGTGAATCTTTAAAAAAAGAATTGTTGTGAACCTTAAAAAAAAGAAAAAGATTGAATGTATATTTAGTTTCGGTTGTGAATCATAAATAAATAAATAAATAAATAATGGTTGTGAATCTTAAAAAAAAGAAAAAAGAAAAAGATTGAATATATATTTAGCTTTGGTTGTGAATCAAAAAATATATATATATATATATGGGAAAATTAGTTGGTATCCATCACCGACCTATCCCCTGTGGATATTTAAAGAATATCACTTACCCTACCCAATGGATAAGAAAAAAAAGAAAAACTCATGTATTTAGATTGAGTCTCCATAAATATCCACAGGATAAGTTACCCATTGCGATCCCTAGTTGGATTCCTCCTTTCCAACTTGATACCATAGGTTTGCAGTCTTGCCAATTGGGGCCACGATTTCCAGAGTGGCTTCGGTCACAAAAGGACTTTCTGTCCCTGGATATTTCAAATGCTAGTATCTCAGATACCGTGCCCCACTGGTTTTGGACTCACTCTAACAAGGTCCAACATTTGAATCTTTATTCCAACCAACTCAGAGGAAAAGTGCCTAACTTCTCATCAAAACTCAATTTGTCAACACTTGATTTGAGTAACGACAACTTGGAAGGTCCCCTGCCCCAATTCTCTCCAAACATGGTATCACTAGTTTTAGCTGGGAACTCCTTTTCTGGGGGTATTTCTTCCCTATGTGAAATGCTGGTTCCGAATAGCACTCTAAGTTACTTGGACCTATCCGGAAATCTTTTATCGGGAGAGATTCCAGATTGTTGGACGTATGGGCGGAAGTTGGTCATTCTAAGCTTGGCGAACAACCATCTGTCCGGCAAAATCCCCAACTCCATTGGTCATCTAGTTCATCTCAATACACTGCATTTGGAAAACAATAGTATTACGGGTGAACTGCCATTGTCCTTGAAGAACTGCACGAGTTTGTTTGTCTTGGATGTCGGGCACAACAAATTGTCTGGGAATATACCAGCATGGATTGGGGAAGAAATGCAAAATTTGATGATTCTTCGCCTGTGTGCTAATGCATTTGAAGAAAACATTCCTTCACAGGTCTGCCAACTAAAATCACTCAAAATCTTGGACCTTTCTTTTAATTACTTATCTGGGTCCATTCCAGGGTGCATGAACAATTTGCTTGACATGGGCAAGCTGGAGCTCGTCCGCTCTTACATTTTTTTTCCTTACACCACCTACAGAGAGAGTGTGCAGCTTAGATTTAAAAATGGCGATTACAAATTTTCTTTTACCCTTGTATTTGTTAAGTTTTTAGATCTGTCATCCAATAACTTATCCGGAGACATTCCTAGAGAAATCACGAGCCTAATTGGATTGCATTACCTAAATCTTTCAAGAAATCATCTGGCAGGAACCATCCCCGACGGCTTTGGTAACCTTGAATCTCTGGAGTGTCTTGATTTGTCAAGGAATGAGCTTTCATGCACAATTCCAGCCAGCTTGTCTAATTTGTTGTTTCTTTCTGTGTTGGACTTGTCACATAACAGACTGTCAGGGAAAATTCCTTCTGGCAGTGGCAATCAGCTCGGTGCTTTCGATGCAACGACCTATATGGGGAATCGTCGCTTGCAAATGGTTGCTTGATCAATCGAAGTTATGAGGATCCACATTGTGGCAACCAGGAAGGAAATGAAGGAAGTGAGGGCACTCAAGAAGATGATGTTGAAGCATCATCTCTTTTCTATGTCAGTTTCTTTCTTGGATTTTTCTATGGCTTTTGGTGGACCTGTGTCACTAGGGTGATCAAAAGCTCTTGGACGCACGCTTGTTACCGATTCGTAGGCAATTTAGTCGACAAGATTTGTGTGATTATAGTGGTTTATGTGAACAGATTGGCAAGAAAGTTTGAGAACAACCATGTTCCTGAATGGAAAGAATAAAGAAAAAGATTCTGACCTCTGGAGGAGTACTTTTGTTGATGAATATATGAAATGTGCCGTTATTGAATGCCTATGAATCTTTCAAACTCGTCCTGAGTGCTTTATTTTATTTGATTATTATATGCTTTCAATTAAGATCTGTATCTGGCTGAAAATTTAGTAGAAGGAACCTAATTTGGATGTAGTTAATTATCCAATTTTAGACTCAGTCCTCCATTTTCTCATCAACTTGCTTTTTACGTAGTTTTTATTTGCAACTATGCTAGGAACACAAAAGATTTTAAACAGAATGAGACACAAATATGAGATAAAAATGTTGGACCCACATAAGTGGGATTCATATATGGGGTTCATCTTTTATCTCACATCTATGTTTTATTCTGTGTACTTAGGTTTTCTCTTTTATCAATGAACTTGTTCAAAATGATCAAATACTCAAAATTACATGACATTAAAGATTCACATTGGATAGTTTACAGTTCAACTTAGAGTAGTGCAATGTTTTATTTTATTTTATTTTGTTCTTCTAATTTTTGCAATCAGTTTAGCTCATTATTACAGAAGCATTATTGGAACTACTATGAAAGTGATGTCTTTGAGTCTCGTTTTCTTGCTATCAATTACAAGTCTAGTTTTCCTATAACAGGTTAATTGGCATCACTATCAAACATGATTAAGAATAGATAATCCTTATTTGTTATTCTTCATATTAATACCTCATTTTCACTACGCTTAAGAAAAATACTTAAAACAAATATTTATTAAATATTATAGTAACATCAAGGAGATTTTCGAACCAACTTATAGGGTAATAATGCACGAGGATCTTCTTAGCCACAAAATATCAAGTTGAAAGTTCCTCAAAACAACTCATTTTTATGTTGAAAATGACATTGACTTCACCTAAATACCCTTAATTAACAAATCTCACCTTTATTTTTCAAATTATCGAAACTCAGTACTAGCTTTGTATGGAAAATCCAGAAGTTAAACCTTGCCCTTATAGTCCACAATATTGAAACATGTTCGTGATTAAAAGTTAATGTATTGTTGTCTGTAGTGTAATATGTAGTAAATATACTCCTATTTGGTTTTTTTATTTATCACATTTTAAATAAGATAGATATTAATGCTACAAAAAAATGTTTAACCCCCTTTCCCCTCACTCCCTTTGACCCCCTCTCTTTTTTGATTGGTTATTTTTTCTTTTGGTTTTTTTTTTTTCTTCCTTCTCCTTTAATCACCACCCGCCACGTGTGTGTGAGGGTTGTGGGGGTGGTGATTGGAGGAGGTCTCTATCAATGCTGGCCATGTTTGTTTGGGCGGACTGGATTAGTATTCCCATGACTAATAGTCCTAGGACTACGAATCCGTTGGATTATGTATCCTATCTTAACTAATAGTCAAGTTTAAAATAATTAGTCCGTACTTTAATTGTTTAACCAAACATCGGATTAATAATTTTATTGGACTATTAGTCCAATCCCAAGCTCATGTCCACCCAAACAAACATGGCCTTAATGCTATACTTTATTTCTAGTAGAATCATATACATATGTCTGATTAGGCATTTAATGCCGACATACTATTAATTGCATTATTATAAGAATAATATTATATGTATCAATTAATATACACACTAGTATATTAATCGATGATGTGACATTATTGGAATGATTTTGGATATTTGTAACTTATATAATAAACGTAATCAATAATAATATCATAACACTAGTTGATATATTAATGTGTACACTAATTGGTACATGTAATACCACCGTTATTATAACCTTACAGGCTGCTTGCGCTTTAATGGTATGCAAAAAAAAAAATCAATTTTGATAAGATTCAAAATAAATACATTGTCGTTTTCATTCTGTTGGCACCATAAAATATTATTATTATTATTATTTTCAAGACACGTGGCATCCTCTTATTCATTTGGAAGTTAAAAGAAGTTATAGAGATGATGGAGAATATGAAGGACAAAGTGGATGAGTGGAAGGACACATGGCAAGACAAGAATGAAGATAGAAGAAGTTGGTAGTTACTAAGTAGTTATTACTGTATTTTTTCCTCCATAAATTGCCATTAATGGCTACATTGTAATGGATCCAGAATTCATAATCAAAGACAATTGATTTCAATATTTCTTGTCATTTTCCTTATCTTAGGAGTAGTTTAATATAGATTTATATTTCGAAGCATTTATTTTCAGCATTCCATTTCGAAGCATTTTATGCACTTCCTTTTCGAAGCATAGGAGTAGAGGTAAGTAATTATTACTTTGATTGTTCACTCAATCGTCTTTCTCCGTCCCTCTTTCTTCTTTTACTTTTTCTTTTCTCTACACTTGACAATTTTGAAGTCCTCTTCGTTGAGGCAAAAGAACCATCAACACAATCGCTTGATAATTGGCTTGAATTTAATCTGTAAGAACTAATTGATCCTTACTGGCACGCTCTCAATTACAATAATAACCTTTGTAAGCCAAAAAAGTCAACATATATTTTTGGCACGCCCAGTGGGATGTCAAGTGTAATAAATGGAAAATGAATTGGATTTGTCCATTTCAAATAGCCTAGATGAAATTTATTGGCGTAAACAAGAAATTTTGGATCTTCAAGAAGAGATCCATTTTCTTGATGAAATAAATTTTCATCCCTTACAATATTATTTTGTGGAAGAAAAAAGACACTATTTAATTGGAGAAATTCATCAACTTGATATGGAAATTCGCCAATGGAATGATGAGTTATCAACTCTCACTACCAAGTCTTTAACTGAGGCCTTAATGGCCGGAATTGGTGAATTTTTTCAGAATTTTTCCATGGTTAAAAATAGCAAAAGCAAAGAGTTAATTTCATCAATGGCTCGGGGGTTCAAGAATCCATTTTTAAAGAGCCAAATTATGAAATTAACATAACGAAAAAGCATGTTCTTGAGCCAAATTTGGTTAAGAATGATGTTCCATGCATGGCTCGGGGGGTCTCAAAACCAATTTTTAGAGAGTCAAGTCATGAAAATAACATATCTATGGGTGATTTTCATAAGCCATTAATAGCTAACATGGAAAAACAACCCACTTTGCCAAATAATTATGAAAATCTATTCGACAAAAGTCATGTCTTTAAAACAAACATGGTCAAGAATAATGAACACGTCACTGTTCATGAATTCAAAATTTTTGACATTTTTCAAAGTGTCAAAAAGTATGAATTTTCATGGTCACACTATACCATAACTTTTGTTGTTCGAAATCCATTTTGGATTTGTGGATCACATCAAACGTTGACTTTGATGGAATGACTAACAAATAATATTTCATTATTACAATATATTGAGCCAAAAATATTATTATTAGTTGATCCATAAAACCATCACATTTGGTTTTGTAGTTACCTTCGAAGCATGTCTCAAGACACTTCGAAGCAGATTATTCATTGAAATATCATTTTATAGCCATTAATGGCTAGTTAAAATGGCAAACTAATTTTATAATAATCCAGCTCTTTGGATTTAGTTCGAAGAGATGTCGTGAGCACTTTCGAATGACGACTTTAATCCTTTAGTAACATATGTGGCTTTCGAATGGTGGTTTTGTCATCAATAAACACCTTCGAAATGTAACATGGGACGAGAAAGCTTTCGAAATGTGTACCTCCCTTCAAATATATGTAAAATGACAATTAATTAATTATCGAATAATGCCTATTTTTGGCATAATAATTAGTGGCTTTACTGATAACCATTTTTATAGCCATTTGTTACATGAAAATGTAACTAGTATTCTATAAAAGTTGGTTCGAAGAACAACGGTTTTGGTGTCTTCGGAGAATTAATAATTGGTTTAAAGCATAAAATTAATATTTTCATTAATTATGTGTGAACCAAAACATACAAAATTTGAATAACCACAATGTTGGCGAAAAGTTGCTTCGAAAGCCCTTTTGCCATAATTTTGTAAGCTTCGAAGCACTCCATCTTGCATCAACAACAGTTTCGAATAAAAAATAGTGATAGTTGTGAACCTTCGAAGTTTTGCCGAGTATTTCCAAGGATGTAATTCGTCCTTTGTTGGCATTTTCGACCTTCGAATAATAATTTTAGTCTTCTATACCACCTTCGAAGCTGGTTATTTAGCATGTGTAACAGTCTGCTAAGGTGAATCATTGGCTTTGTCTTGAAAGTATGTGGTTATCCTTCGAAACTTTTCTGCACTAATATCCTTTCAATGCGTATATATAATTCGCGACATCTAGTCATAATTTCATGCTCATTCGAAGGAGTTTATTGGTGCTATTATATCATTCGAAGCACTTTGTTGATATTATTCGAAGCACTTTATTACTTAGATTAGTCATGTGCTTGGTTCGACCCTTCAAAAATTCAAATAAACATCATTTTTAAGGGCCGCGGGGGGTAATGTTGGCACCATAAAATATTATTATTATTATTATTATTATTATTATTATTATTATTATTTTCAAGACACGTGACATCCTCTTATTCATTTGGAAGTTAAAAGAAGTTATAGAGATGATGGAGAATATGAAGGACAAAGTGGATGAGTGGAAGGACACATGGCAAGACAAGAGTGAAGATGGAAGAAATTTGTAGTTACTAAGTAGTTATTACTGTATTTTTTTCCTCTATAAATAGCCATCAATGGCTACATTGTAAGGGATCCGGAATTCATAATCAAAGATAATTGATTTTAATATTTCTTGTCATTTTCCTTATCTTAGGAGTAGTTTAACATAGATTTATATTTCGAAACATTTATTTTCAACATTTCCATTTCGAAGCATTTTATGCACTTCCTTTTCGAAGCATAAGAGTAGAAGTAAGTAATTATTACTTTGATTGTTCACTCAATCATCTTTCTCCGTCTCCCTCATTCTTCTTTTAATTTTTTTTTTCTCTACACTTGGCAATTTTGAAGTCATTTTCATTGAGGCAAAAGAACCGTCAATACAATTGCTTGATAATTGGCTTGAATTTAATCTGTAAGGATTTTTTAATCCTTATTGGCGCGCTCGCATTTATGATATTTTTCTTCGTAAAAAAAATAAGCCAACAGTTGTGCATTTAAAGACTCCCTTAATCGATTGAGTTAAATTTGTGAAATTACGCAAGTCCTAATTATATAAAAGATGACTTTGTTACTTTTATAAAGTACAGAGTAATCTTTTTATTTCCAATTTCATGGGAATGAATTAGTAATCTCAACGCTCTCAAAGAAATGCTAATCCCTGCTTGCGAAAGAGATTCCTAATCTCATAGAACTTCCATATTATTTTTATCAAATAAACATAATTTATGTAAAACCTACCAAATTACTAATCTAATTCCGTCACGAATGAAGTTATGAACAAGTATGAGCTATGAGTTCACTAACTTTTGGCACGTTTTCCTAGCCATAGACCCTGATCAAGTGAGTTCCATTTTCTGGTTGAGCCACATATCCCTTTACCTCCATAAAATTACAACACAAGTTGATTAAAACCATTGTACTATTGCAGTTTTCAATGGATTGTGTTCAGAAAACATATGCTTGCCTTGATTTCTGGTAGGACCTGAGTGGAAACTTGCAATACTTTGAAATGGACAGGCAACCTTGGCAAAATTACAAAAAAAAAAGTGCTTTTTTAAGTAAATCCCATTGTTAAGACTTATTTTCTATCTAACTTGTATTCTTTTCTATTTTAGTAGATCCTGTATACAATAATATGACCAAATCACCTTTCCAAACTTTTTGCATGTGTTTCCATTTTGAAACCAATATACAATATAAAAAATAAAAAAATAAAAAAAGAAGAGTCCCTCGTTGTAGGGGAAAAAAAATCTCTCCGTCGTTTCAAAAGAAAATATCCCTTTATTATATGAAGAAAATCTCTCCCATTCTAGGATTAAAAAAAAAACAACAACAAATGACAAAGACAAAATCAGCTAATAAACAATCCAAATATCATCAAAGAAAAAAAATTCATGAGCATATGATTCGATAATATCATTTAACCTGTAATGAACTGCATTTAAATAAACAAAATATTATTAATATTATCCCCTCATGAAACCATACATATGAGTGTGTGAACATTAACCTTGGGTGCAACTACCTATTTGTATTACAGAATTAATGTGAACATTCACATCTCTATATACACAATATGTTTGTAACCAAAATAAAACATTGTTGTTTTTACTAGTACGACTATTTTTTAATATGAATATTAATATTGAATGTAATTTGTGAATAATGTATTGTTAATATTGTCATGTTCTTTTGCTATTATAGAGACACTATAAACATTCACATTGTTGGTAATTTCTTGTTATTATGTACACATAACCATTGATTTAGTGTGCATTGCGGTAAATGCAATGTTGATGTGAACATTCACATCTCTATGTCGTACTGTTCACATTATCAAATGCAGAACATTAAAATCTGATAATCCACAACAACAATGACTTCAGTTGGTGTAAACGTTCACATTCACTGACATCTCCAACCAATAAAACACACTATAATACCATATCAATCTATCCCCAAACCTTGGTTAGATTCTATACCATACCACAAGACACTAATCAATTTTCACCAATTTCACAATACAATTCTACAAATTTCAACTCTTTTTAACATTTTCACCAATTTCGAAAACACTTTTGACCCCAATTCTCAACAAACTATATATACATATATATATCTAATGAATACACCAAAAAAAAAAAAAAAAGCAATTACCTCAACGGTGAACTCATGAACAGATTGAGGTTTTTGGGATAAGGTTACCATAGAGTGCCTGTTTGGCAGAAATTATTTACAGCTTATTTCAGCTTTCAGCTTAATTTAAGCTATTTTGATGTGTTTGGTTTAGCTTATAGCTTATAGCTTATAGCTTTGTGGAAGTCAGAAATCAGCTTATTCTTTGAGTGGGGCAGGAGATGCTTTAAGAATAAGCTGGAAATCAGCTTAAGCTGAAAGTTATAAGCTATAAGCTGTTTAGGCATAAGCTATAAGCACTTTCCCACAGCTCTACCAAACAGGGCCATTGTCGTAAATAAAAATAAGAACTTGTCCATGTTCTTGAGTTCTAAGATGCAAATACTGAATATTAGATAAATCCGCAACATTACAGTGTAGACATAAATAGCAATCCTGCAAATACTCAAATAAATCTGTAACATACAACTGAGCACATGGTTCTTATTCAAATTAATAAAAGCACTGGTAGAAGATAAGACGATGTTGTTACAAATCATAGTACAATTGATTCAATTTATAAAATAAAAAAAATATAGCAGTGATTAATGTTATAAACCCCAACAGCTTCACACCCATCACAACCTGTACAACTGTTCAGCTGAAGATTACCAGTCAATGTCATCGCTCGTAGCGCCAAAAATTACTGCAATGGTAGCAATAACAGCCTGCACATAATAAGCAGCATCACTGAGTCATAGCTGAGTTAGGGGGGTAAAGAATATTTTATTTTATTTTTTTTGATCAGCAACAAAGTAATTTTATTGAGTAAAAAGCAAAAGAGTCTCGTTTTAAGCTTGTTTTGCACAATTGTTTTCCTATCTCTTTCCACTATTTTTGGACTGTTTTTGGCCTATCTTTGAACTGTAAAAAAATTTGCTTTTATGACCTAAAAATGGTGGTTTGAGGCCACTTTCAGTTAAGGAGTGGTTCACATTTCTTGCTTCTTTACTTGTAAAGTTTTAATGCCTTTGTTTATCACTTTCAAATCAACTTTTTTGAGCCTTTCAACCACTGAATTTTAGAGGTTTTTCAGTGGCAAAAAACTCATTTTGAAGTCCAAATTTGGAGGGGTTAGCCTCCCTTCTTTGTGTCCTGTTTACATGTCTAATTAGGTTCATATGTTAGCATATTTTTCTAGTTTAATTTAACTCAAGTCCAGCATATTTTTGCCTCTGAAATAGAATGCTTTAGCTCTGTTTTGGCTGGTTCCTATCCCCCTTGAGTTTGCGGGGGGCTGTTAAAACCTATCACCTACTTCACCCACTTAAACCTACTCTACTAAACCTAACCCACTACACCACTACCACCTCCACTTCACCTACTCCTTACCTACTACACACTCACCCTCTTCTATATATAGGAATCATGAATCATTGTAATAGAAATCAATAAACATACACATCAATCAATAATACATACAATTTATTCTCTCTCTATTTCTCTTTATACATTAAATTTTACATGGTATCAGAGCAAGGGTAAGCACTTAGTATTTTTCGCTTCACCGGCGGGCGGCAACCTCGCCTTAGCCGCCCGCCGGACCTCAACCTAGTCCGCTAAAATTCTCTACACATACCCTGACTCCGTTAATGGGTCAGCGTCACTTCAATCCCTCACCAAGTCCCTGCGGCATTCCCAGGCTCTGGGCAAGATTACTCATCCTTTCTTTCATGGCTTCAACACTCTTCTGGTGCGCATCCTTGTATGCTTCAGTGACCAAAAGGGAGAGTTTTTTCAGCTCCCAACTCCATTGCAGCCTCAGTTATCTCAGTGCGCACAGGCTGCTGGTTACCAGAAAGTGTTACCTTTATTAGCTCACCTTCACAATAGCCATCAAACTCTGCTGCAGCAAGTTGTTGGTGCAAGATTGGAGGACCCCGCATTGTCCGATGCACTTCAGGCATGCCCAAATCTGACGCATCTATCTCTGCTTGCGTGTGAGGGGTTGAGATCTGTTTCAATTGAGCTGCCCCAGCTAGAGCAATGCAGACTTGATTTTTTATGGCTTGGGTAACTGCTCACTTTCCATTGTTTCTCCAAAGCTTGAATTGCTCGAGGTGCAAGGTTGTAGTTGGATTAGGGTTCGAGAGACCCAATGCTTAAGAAATCTTTCCATTGCCAATAATTCCGGTAATCATCTATTAGAATTCGCTGCAAGTTCTTATCTATTGGAGTATAATTTTAGCCAATTCTTAAACGACTTTTTTTTTTTTTTTCCCCTTGTTATCCAGGGAGAGTTTACATGGTGGATTTTGGAAAACTTGTGGGTCTTGAGTTCTTGTCCATTAGAGGGGTGCAGTGGTGTTGGGATGCAATAAGCAAAATGCTTCAATTGGCAAATAAAGTGAAGCATCTCTATATGAAGGTGGAGTTCACTGGGGATTTTGAAGCCCTCTTGCCCTTTCCGGAGATTGATTTTGTCGAATTCTTTAACAGCCATCCCAAGCTGCGAAAATTCGATATGCATGGTGCCATGTTTGCTGCTCTTTGTCAGAAAAACAGCTTGAAAAATGTGAATATTTGATCCATAGCTTTGTTTCTTTTAAGCATTAGGACGATTATGAAGATTTAATGCCTAAAATTAAGCATTATTTTTCTTTTCTTTTTGCAGGTGGATTCGAGATTTGTGATTCCCTGCCTTGAGGAGGCAGTGGTCACAGTGAGATCACCATTAAATGCAGAACAGAAAATGAGCACTCTCGAATCATTGGTCAAGTATGGTAAGAATTTGAAGAAGATGACCGTAAGGATTCTTGATATGAAGAGCAGCCATAGCAGCGCAGATGATTTCTTCCAGGAGATTTGCAGGTTTAGATGCTTGAACCGCAAGATTGTTTCAATAGAGTAACAGCTCAATGAGCACTTTACCCATAATTTCTAATTCATTGAAATCATTTTTGTTGTTGTAGTTGTTCTCTAATTGACTGCTTAAAAAATTCTGATGTTTTGGACAATTGCTCGATCATTCTTCAATAAGTATAATCATTAACATCCTTTATATCGTGGCATGTCTCTAATTATGCTCATTCAATTCATTTTATTTGCTGTTATTAGCACCTATCAAAATTCTTGGATCCCCCATTTCTTTGGACCCCAACCTTAAACTCTAAATTTTAATAATATTTTTTTGGACACTTATTACCAAATCTATCCATATTCATAATATTTTCACAATGAAATGTACACCCACCTAATTTTTCATCCCTCTCCTTTCCTGACTCACTCAATCTTCAGAGTCTGGAGCTTTGGTCCAGTATAATTCCTCCGACCTCTCCATCATTGCGTAAGGATGGTAATTCACTCTCATACCCTTCTTCACTACTGTCACATCTGGCAACACGTCGTTCTTTAAAGTTTGCTTTTTGTTAATGGAGATGGGTGGGTAGAGTCTCATGGTCTCGCTCAGCGACGCGTGTGTGTAAACCATGTCTTTCACTTCTTCGTAGATCGGAGCTTCGGATTTTTTATTGATTTCTTTGAGAATCTCAATTTTTACATCTGAGTTTTTGGAGACAAGCCTGAAGAACCAGATTAAAGCTTTCATCTAAATGCTCTGAATTCAAGAATCTTGATAGGAGATCAGTAGATTCGAGTGATGATTTTGAATTTGTTCATCACTATGTAGCCGAAAAAATGTATTTTGTTCAGAACTGTTTTGTCGAACAATAATGATTCTGTCAGCACTGTATGTCTGAACAAAATTTGTTCATCACTGTGTAACTTGAATCCATTCCAATTCACAACTTAAAATAACATGAATTAAATTCATTCAAAATACATAACTTAAATCCATTCAAATTCATTCTTTTCCATTCTAAGTTAGTTTAACAAAGAAAATTACATAACTGACTATCCGCATTAATGTTCGGAACTTATGTATTGAACGAAATGATTATGTTCAGTATTGTATTACCGAACATAATTCTAACAGTCAGCAAACCAGTATTGAACAGCTCAAACGAAACAAAAATGATAAAAAACGACCGAGAATGTTAATACAAGACAGATAAACTTATTAATAGAACGGCGGTCTTACTAGAGTTGTTGTCTTCGTTCTCCATTACTCTACACAGTAAAATATGTGATGAAGTATACGTTATACTTGAAGTAAAACTTTCAAGTTCAATAGTGTTGATGATGGTGATGAAGATGACACATTCAGGATTTAAGATGATTATGAAAAATAATAGATTTAGGGTTTATATTAGTTGGTTATGAAAAGTAATAGGTTTAGGGTTTACAAACATGGAATACGTATAGTTGGAGTTGGAGGTGGGGGTGGGGGTGGGTGTCCAATATTATAGAGTATTAGTTCTTATTGATAGGTGGGTGTTCCATTTCATAGAGTCTCCTTTGTGGATACTCTTCCCATTTGTGAGGGATGGTTGTCCAAAATTTTAGAACATTAATTCTTATTGATAGGTGAGTGTTCCATTTAATAATGTCTTTTAATGTAATTTTACTTTAGGGTATAATTGTAATAAAAAAAAATTTATAAAATGAGGAGTCCAAAAAATTTTGACAAGTGCTAATAACAACGCTCTTTATTTAGCTCTGTCTTAAAACTGCTCATGGCGTAAATGATAGCTTGCTTGGTTATTGAGCGAGTTGGTCCACAACATTATGCCTAGTGAAGGTTTTGAACCAAAATTTCATTCCCCTTTTTTGTTTTTGTATTATATGTATATATATATATATATATATATATATAGATATTACCTCTATTTCCTTCGAAGTGTATTTCCATTATCATGCAGGCAATATATAAGTTTTAGTTTTACGCTGTGTTTGGTTAGGAAATTTGAGGAGGGATTTGGAAAGGGAAAGGGAAAAGTTAGGTGAAATGTGAAAAAATATATCTACATTTCACTTAATTTCACACACTTTTTTCCTTTCTCTTTCTAAGTCCCTCTTCAAATCCCTCAACCAAATACAGTATTAATATAGTTTTGTCATATCCTTATTAAAAGGGGAAAAAAACGGAAAAGGATAAAACAAAATGATATGAGTTGTTATGGTTCCTTTATTTTTTGCTTTGTGCTGAAATAAGCTCTTCCATGATCAAAATCAGTGAAAGGCCGTAAGAATGAGCAAAGCATATTTATTCGGTTAATAATAGTTAGATACTTGTGTTATTTCTTTGCACAATGAACATGAGAAGTAATTTAGGTCATCTAATAAATGAATTTTAACATTTCATTTATGTCGAGTCTATATAAATGGAGTTGTATATGATACTTAATAATTTTTGAATGAATACAAACTTCATGTTGGATTTAGGTCTAACTCAGCATCTCTAAAATGGTAAACCATGGATTTTCAATTTTTTAGTGAAATAGGATCCAATATTGCATATGAATTGTAATTCAAATGGTAAAAGGAAACCACTTTATTATAGCCAAGTTTGGCATATTGTAAAAAAGTCAAAAAGTTATTCAAAAAATTAAAAAGTTAATACTATTCACCAAAAGTCAACAATTACGGCTGCACAACTCTTAATCCTAATTTTTTTTCCTACAAATCAATTTTTACAATTTTTTATTACACATTTTTCCATAAAAATTTAAAAAGTTAACCCAAACATCCATATTTTCTTCCTTAATTTTTTAGTCTAAAAAGATAAAAAATACACTTATTTAAGATACCCCAAACAACCCCTATATAGAATTTTTAACAAAAAAGAAAAAGAAGAAAAAAGTAAGCAACTTGGTGTTGGTGCGCTTGACTAAAATGGAATGGCCAACAGCCCATCAAAATAAAAATAAAAAAACAGCCAACCATAGAACAATCTAGATTCCCAAATACGAATGAGATAAGTCATTCCCAAATACGAATGGAAAAAAATATATTGTGTTTTAGTTGAGTTTTGAAAAAAAAAAAAAAATTTATTCTTATTTGGTAAAAAAATAAAAAAATACTTATCATTTCCAGATTTTTTTTATTGGGTGAATATAAATTTTAAAAGATTACAAATATTTTTTGTGTGTTTATTTTCATTGAACTAGTCTTTAAAAGTGAAGTCATTTTCAAAGATTCCATACAAATTTTTATATGAAACCTAGATGGTAAGCTACCTTTCAGACAATTCTAAAGATAGGAAGAAATGCCCATGTTTTATTCTTCCGATTTAAAACCAAATATTATTCCAAATTCAAGTTTGAAAGTCATATAATTATCCTCTTTTGGTTAGCATGAAAAATGGAATAGATATATGAGGAAGCTAATTCAGTTGCATTTTAGAAAAAAAATTGCTGATACTTTTTACATTTTATTTTTTTGTAGCATGAAAGAGAAGAGAATTGAAAGTAGTTTTTGCTTTGGTTATAAACTCACCCAAAGCCAAATGGAGTAGATATAGAGAACCACTCCAAACCGACCGTTACCAATCCTACTCACATTTTAACTTTTTTTCATATTCTCCTCCCTTAAAATAACCATCATTATTGCAAAAAGACCCCTCTTTACATGATTCTCATCCCACTACCCAACTTTTCCTCCATCTATGTAACACAAACCAAACCCACAAAATAAAAAAACAAGAACATATGGAAGATCTCTTCTCCCAATTCATCTTACTCTCAGACCAATCCCTCCAAGACAAGTTTTTCAATCCTTCTTCAATCGAAGACTTCATGAAACTGTTTGAGCTCGAGTCTTACAAGGCATGGGCTGCCGCGGAGCTTGACAACGAAAAAGAAGTACAAGAAGCTGAGGAATCAATGAAGGCGGCCGAGGACTATCTTGACTCTGTCATGGAGAGTGCTATGGGAGAGTTTCGGTGTTTTGAAGAGGAGATAGAACGCAAGTCCAAGGGTGAGATGAAAAGCTTGGTTCAAGATGGGGAATCGGCTAGGAAGGCTGGGAAGTCCATGGAAAAGGCAGCTACAATTGCTTCCAAGAAGTATGTTGAGGCTGCACTTAATTCAGCTGGTGCTTCGATGAAATCAGCTTGGAAGGGGCTCTCTGCTAATGCCAACAAGGTTCATCCTTCTTGAAGGATTTGTTGTTATGTCTGTAGTAAAGTATTAGTGTTACTTCTGTTTACTATTTATGAGATAAAAATAATTTAAATAAGATGAGAAAAATTGATTATCTATAAGGGAATGGGTATTTTTAACTTCTTTCTGATTATTAACTTTCAATTTGAGAAAAAGAACACCAAACAGGCCCTATGTAATTGTGTTAAAATCATTTGCACTTGACTATCATTTATAGTTTGTTCCAAGGCTGCTTCTGGTGTTAAAAGAGCAGTGGGTCCATGAAATTATTTTAGAAAAATTCAATTATCTCTCTTGCTCTTTGTGTTGGCAAAAAGTAATTGGTATTTATGTGAAGAAAATATGTCAACATCTAATGCAGAAAGAGATGATTTATTACAGTATTTGAGGGAAATTAAAAAATTTCAATTATCTCTCTTACTTTGTGCTGGCAAAAAGTAACTGGTATTTATGTGAAAAAATATATCAACATCTAATATAGAAATAGATGATTTATTATAGTATTTGAGGGAAATTCTTTCACTTTTCTCAACTTTCTCATGATGCCTTGGTTTCTCAAATTGCTCATTGATTTAATTATCATGATGGTGATGGTGTGAATTACAATATCGATTTCTACTGATATAAAATATGAAACATGTTATAAAAACATATATAAATAAATTATTTTCTTATATTCATGTTGAGTTACAAAAAATAAGAATTGTAAGATAATTTATGAACCCTAATTGTGAGAAGAAGAAAAAAATGGGTCCAAATTGTTAAATTTTATAGATCAAATCCCCTATTTTCATAGATATAGATGTGCAAGTCTATAACTATTATAATTATAAAAAATGAATTTAAAATTGATACCAAATCGGGTCATTATAATTTAACAATCATTTATCAATGGTGCAAAAATTACATGAAAATGCTATATATGGACCAATCATGAGAGATATATGAAGATAGAGGCCCTGTTTGGTAGAGCTGTGAGAAAATACTTATAACTTATTGAGAGGGTAATTTTAGTAAAAATTGGGCCGAGCTATGAGATTATCATATTGAGCCACAATACAAAGGGCTGAGTAAAAAAAGGCCGTAAAAGTTACTCCGACCCAAAAGAGGTATAGAATTACTCCGGCCCTAGTTACGTACAAGTTATTCCGGTCTTGTGAATGTTTTGGAGCTAGTCCGGTCCAACGTAAGAACGAAGTTAGATCGGTCTAAGCAGTACCTTTGAGTTAGACCGGCCTTGGAGTTACACCGGTCGCAATTTGTTAGTTCGGTCCAACTATGCCATTTATTGAACAAAGAGAGAACCGAGATAAGGAGAAGTTAAAGGAAGAACCGAACTAAGGTTAGTTCGGCCAACTTTGTGACTCATTCTACGGCTATACATAGTCCTATTTACTTCGGTCGTATTGGAGTTCGACCACGATGAAACCATCTCACTTGGTTTAAGCAGTGAGGGGGGTGTTGAAGGATAAGCATTATCTTTCAGGAGTATGAATCCTACGAGGACTCTGCATGGAGATATAAGAGTCCTACTAGGATTGTGCCACACGAAACCTATAAAAGCTCACAAACATAACCATGGGAGAGGTAACACACAACTTTGCTTTCTGAATACAAAGAGCTTTGTCTAATTGTCAAGTTTGCTGACTTAGGCATCGGAGAGGTTTCCGGCACACACCCGCCGGCTAGCTCACGTTTGTGTTTTCAGGTGACAAAGCGACGTCGTACGGAGGAGCACAGACTTAGTCAACAGGATTATACGAGAAGGTATATTTCTTTCCCGTACAATTGGCGCCGTCTGTGGGAAGAACAGACAGAACAAAACCTCTTGATTAAAGCTTCTCCCCCCTACAATCAATGGCACACATTGAAGAATTGCCGCAGTCTGCCGTCGACGGGCTAACTCCAGACGGAGGAGCAAGGCGTGAAGGATTACCTTCTGTCCCTCCCATGGCGGACTTGGAGTCCCAGCGACATAACCTCAGGAGAGATACTAGGGGAAGGCGAACTCACAGCCCCCGTCAATCTCGCTCACAAAGTCCTGACAGGCAAAGACGGAGGATTGACCCTCAAGCTCTGGAAGATCGCGTGAAAGAGCAAGATGAATTGATAAGAAAGATGGTGGCGGACATGGAGGCCTTGAAATGCCAGATGAAGAAAAAAGAAGTGGCGACAGGAGAGGGGCGCAAAAACAAAAAGCCCCCTCGCCACTCAGAAAATCGTAGTAGGAATACCACACCCTCGCAAGGAGAGAGTAGAAGCCTCAGGACAGGCGATACTCAATCCTGGTCTTCCAGAACTCGTCACTCCAGGTCTGAGAGGACGAGATCTGAAAGGTCATACACTGAAGGAAGCACATATTGGCCCTCACATTCGCATCAAACCAGATCCAGACAAACGGAGTTACCCAGATCATCCGACTTACAAACCGTGCTCGAAGAAAAAGCACGATGCAAAGAGGATGCTAGGGCACGGGATCCACATAGAATTTCTGCCTTACAACGATTGGCTCATCGAACGCATGGAAGCGTCGAGGTTGGAATGCCAATACCGTGCCCTGCCTACGAACCAACGGACAAAGCACTAGCAAGGCTGCAGACTTCGCCGTTTATTCCAGCGATTGAAAACGCGCCCCTACCATCAGGCTTCCTTCAGCCGAAATTCACTACATATGAAGGGAAGACGGACCCGTACTCACACTTAAGCCACTTTCGCCAAGTCATGGCTGTTTACAGGCGAAACGAGGCCTTAATGTGCATACTTTTCCCGTCTAGCCTTGGCGACCTAGGCTTGACTTGGTTCGAGAAACTTCCTGAGGGTAGCATAGCCTCTTGGGCGCAATTGGCAGAAGTGTTCGTAACAAGGTTCCAAACAAACACTAAAACCTCGGTGGAGATCGACCAGCTACTCTCCATTGACATGGGCGATAAAGAGACACTAAGATCTTACAATAGTCGCTACTGGGAGACATTCAATCAGATTGGGGACTGCCCCACCAATCTCGCCATTGCACAATATAAAAGAGGCCTTCCGGTTGGGAACAGACCAAGGGACTCGATCACCATGACGCCACCCATCACCATGGAAGCTCTAATAGAAAGAGTGCACCAGTACATCAGGGTAGAAGAGGATGACGCACGTGCCAAAGCAAAATCTGGTGCGGCCGCAGTACCAAAAAAGAAGACCTCAGCAAAGGTCAACACGGTAGATCGTCAGAACAGAAACGGACGTGGCAGACGAGATAACGGAGAAGACCTGGATAAAAGATGGTTGAGGATCCGCACTGCCATAACCACGGTGTTCAAGAAACCGATATATCGGATTCTGAGCGAAATAAGAGATGAGCCTTTCGTCAAGTGGCCAGCCAAGCTAGGGGAAGCTCAGAAGGACTATGACGAAAGGTCACGGTGCACCTTCCACAAAGAAAAGGGGCATCGCACTGAAAACTGCACGCCGTTGAGACAACACGTGGAGGAGTTAGTGGCGGCAGGACACTTGGATAAATACATTGAAGGAGGGACGCAGCCAGCCCCCCAGGACCATAATAACCACCCTAACGGAATGCCAATTGACGCCCCACCTCAAGGCATTATCAATGTGATACATGGAGTTTTTGAACATGAGCGTGTTTGCGAGCTCAGGGGATCAATCAAAAAGGCTAAACACTTTAGAGAGGTGTTAAGTGCCCAACCTGCCATCAAGAAGGGAAGACAGAGGCAACAAACATCATGTCTTTTTCAGATAAGGACTTGGATCGAATATACTGTCCTCACAATGATGCCCTGGTCGTCACTCTCCGAGTCAAGGATTTTGACGTCAACCGGATTCTGATTAACCAGGGTAGTTCATGTGAGATCATGTGCTACGAAACATTTAAACAACTAAAGCTACAAGACAAAGACTTGGCGCCTGCTGTATCACCCCTAATTGGATTCAACTCTATGCCAGAATGGCCCGTCGGCAAAATAATTCTTCCAGTTAGGGCAGGAAGCGTGACGAAACAAGTGGAGTTCTGGGTATTGAAGGTCCCCTCCACTTACAACATCATCTTGGGCAGAACATGGCTGCATGCCATGCGATCGGTGGCGTCATCCTACCACCAAGTAATGCGGTTCCCCAACGACACCGGTGTAATTGAAGAAGTCTATGGAGATCAGATCATGTCGAAGCAATGCTTCGCCACAGTAAATGGCAGCCGTGCTGCCAAAGGATATGTTCATTCGGTGGAAGAACCAGAAAGTAATGAGCTATCGCAGATGTCGGCAAGCGGCGGATAGAAAGCAGTGGAGGACTTGTAGAGGTAAAAATAGATGAAAAGAACCGGATAAGTTCTTTTTGCTTGGTTCGTCGTTGTCCAGCATTGAAAGATTAGAGGTCCTGGAATTCTTAACCTCTAACATTGAAGTGTTCGCCTGGACACCCTACGACATGCCAGGCATTGATCAAACTTCATCTGTCACCAACTCAATGTCCACCCATCCGCCAGGCCAGTTATTCAGTGCACTCGCAGATCGCACTCCACCACGCCGAGATAGTGGCGAAGAAGTAGGCAACCTGCTAGAGGCTGGAGCAATAGAGAAGTGCACTACCCAAGATGGGTCTCCAACACGGTTGTATGTACCAAAGAAGAATGGCAAAATGGCGTGTCTGCGTCGACTACAAACAGTCAACAAGGCGTGTCCAAAAGATAGCTTTCCTCTACCACGGATAGATCAACTGGTAGACCTAACAACAAGGCACAACCGGCTTAGCTTTCTGGATGCATACAGAGGCTGTCACCAAATTGCCATGCATAAACCAGACCAGGAGGTCACATCTTTTACAACTCCAAGAGGACTATACTGCTACAAGTCAGCCCTTTGGCCTGAAGAACGCAGGGGCAACATTCAACGAATGGTCACCAAGATGTTTGAACCATTGTTAGGCAGAACAATGGAGGCTTACATCGACGACATGGTGGTCAAAAGCAAGGATGAAAATGACCATCTAAAGGACCT